CATATTCTTCAAGATTTAAAGCAACATTCCAATTTGGCCAGTTTTGAACTTCTAAACTTAACAGCAGATTTTACTGTCAGTTTTCTTTTTATGATAGCAGATATGTTAGATATAAAAAACAATGCCCTTTATTTCCTAAACTGGTTTGAAAACTAAATACCACTATGAATAAATAAATAAATAAATCACCAATTTTAAAATCTTACCACTTTACTTGCATTTACCTGACCTGAATTCTTTCATTCATACTAAGAAAATTAATCCTTTATTATAAGTGGGACATAAAAGAATTTCATTACCAAATGCTATCCAATAAAATTCTTTGTATAAAATGCTAATTAATTCTTGCACGAATACATTCTGAAATATGCATGCATGAGGAAAACAGTAACTTATAATTTATTACTGTTGTAATGGAATGTGAAATTAGTTTAGTTAGGTATATGCATGATATGAAGAAGTTAGCTAATGTGAAAAACAAAGACCGTGAATGTATATATGCTTATGATAGTACTGAATGGCTGAAAACCTGGATGATGTATTAATGTCCTTCTGAAAATCAACCAGTAATGGTCATGTGATAGAAGAAATGAGGAGCATAGATTAGTAGCATTTATCTTTAAGACCAGACCAGTAATCATTATACAGATTTATATAATAGAAGATATAAAACCAAATCATTGATCAGTGTTTACATGCATATTCTGTAAGTAATAAGTATATTTTGAAGGATAAAAGTAGGTGCTGAAAAGTTTTGAACCACTTCTGATGAGAAATACATTTTTTTCTTTCCCATTTTGAAAGAGAACTTTTGAACACACTTTTGAACACACCAGTAGTTTCTGTAATACCTCCTGATGAGTGGACTGAATGATTATAAAAAAGGTTAGTCTACAAAACCCATGAGTTGGGATGCTGAATATAACATCAATCAGTTAACTGACAAATGTTATATTTTTTATTAATGCTATATATATAAGAAAAGTCTGGTACATAGAAATGTGTATATGTATGTAACAGAAAACCAGAAATTATCTGTATCTGCATAAACATGTAAAGCAGATAAAATTTTCTGTTGAAGGACTGCCAATACATAGCATCTTAAATATCTGCTGCTGCTGTTGTCTGGCATGGGACGGGTGCCTGAAGAGAAATGTCTGCACAAGATGGCTGTGTTTTGGAGAAGAGCCACAAAGAAACAATTTTACTCATACAGTTCTGTCTGGTTTCATGAAAGGAGTTCTCAGTGTCAGAGTTGAAATATCTTGATTCTCACAGACACCTTCAGGAATAGATAAAATCGGCTAAAAAAAAAAAAATAGCTGGTTCTAGAGAATACTGAATGGCAGAGAAAGGAGGTCTACAAAAAAGGATATCACTGAAACATTGTAAAAAAATTCCAAAGCTACAAAACTATTAATTTGCAAAAATATTGGATAGATACTAGCTAAGTTATAATATTCACTATCATCTAACCATATCCTAGTGATGAGTACCTCTTTTAAGAAGGTGAGCACCAATTATACAAATATATTTATGAAAATAAGCATACTACAAAAACAGGATGAATATAAGCATTCATTACCAACATTGTTTTGGAAGAAGTTTCCTCTAAATTATATTCATAAAACATTGAAACAAAAATTGTTTACAAAATGCCATCTTTGGTGCCAATTATCAATATTGGTTTTACAGCATGGAAAGATATGGGTTTGTTTTTTTCTTGTCAAATTGCTTCATGTTAGTTGTTCATTAAACAAGCCATTTTTTATAACATTAAAAACCAGTAGCATTAATATATCTATTTTCATACACAACTGGAAATAATAATTGCTATAATATATCTATTTCATAAAAAGTCTATTCTTCTAATAGTGTTAATTTTTATTGTTAACCAATACAAATGTAAAAATGGTTTTAATTTAAGCAATTTGGATTTCTTTTTTGTATAAAAATTTAATTTCACTTAATAATATTTATCAAAACAAAATTAATTTCCAAATATGACAGCATTTCAGAAACTATTGTCAAATATATATATAATATATATAAATATATATATATATTATATAAAAAACTTACTAAGCCATAAAACTATGTCCAAAATATTTAAATTTCGGCATTAAATAATCCATAGAACCAAACAACCAACATGAAAGAACTCTTTATGTCAATATCAATTAATCAATATCCTGCAATTTCTTAAATCAAACTGTATTCTAAAATATAACTTTGACAAAACTACAACTTAAAACACACATCATTGCCTCTTTTAATTATGTCAACACGAACATGTACATACACAAAAGCTGAGTATCATCTACCATGTATTCAATTGTGAAAGCAGAATAACATATATCATTTTTATTACTTCAAAGCTCCCAAGAAAATTAAATTTTGGCACTAAATTACCCATAAGGAGTTGATATGCCATTAATCAATTATTCAAATGCAATCATTGAAATAAACTTTAAAAAATTTTGATTTCTTGAATAATGTCATGTAATTGTACAGGCCCAACAAACAAGCTATACTTCATATTGCAAATTAGATACATTAAGAACCAGGGCATTCTGTTATATATTTCTTTTCAGCAACAAATTTTCAATAAAAAGAATTATAATGAAATATTGTCAGCAAACCTAAAAGTCTTCATCCTACTAAGATACTATTTAGTTCTATACAAAAAGTTCCCAACATGTTTTTGAAAATTAGAAACTGAATACACAGTCGAAAAACATTTTTTTTTTTTTGCTGAAAACTTTTGCATAGCCGTAATAATCTACTTTCATGATTTCTGAACATGGTTGTTTTCAAACTTGTTCTACTTACTAATCTATAGCCCCAAGTACAGAAACTGGATTCTAAGGTCAGTGCCAGGTTGGCTCTCTTTCTCTTGGATGTGATTTTCTTTTAAAAGTAAATGCATTAAAAAAATCTTCAAAGATAACAGATGATCAAAATAAGTAAGAAACATGTTCCCAAATATGAGCTGACATTTTATAAATCTATTATCATGAAAGTACTAGCATTTTACAAAAGTATTTTATAATGACTAGTCTGAGAGAAGTTATGACTACTTTCATATAACAATACTTGCATATTATTTACTAATACTTAGCTGCTAATTTTCAACTTGAAAAAAAAATCATACTAAATAGATACAGGCACAAATCCTAAATAGACACTAGTAACTGTTCTCTAGTATAAATTCGATTTATTCTATGAAGCCATAACATGTTTAGCAAAAATAATATTCTGCTATGACACCCTGACAAAATAAATGTTTATTTTTCTTTTTTAAATACTGTGAAGAACTTGGATAGTGCAATGTTGATTAGACTGAAAAGTATATTATTATGATATGAATATCCCTCAATGTTGATCAGAGAATTATTGTTAATAAATACTAGCCAGATCTAATCTTATGGTAACATGATCACATGATGAATTCACAAAAACAATGGATTGGACATTCAAGCAGAGAAAAAGAGTGATATAAAACAAGTCTTATTAGCAATATGAACACAAATTCTTTCTATTAATTTGAAATGTTTACACTGAAGATAGTAAAGAATAGAGAACCTAGCAGTAAAAAGCTAAAAAAGACAAATAAAAGGGAATAAAGAGGTGAAGATAATCTTCAGAATAACAACAGCAATATATGAATGGATGGTTCAAGTGTTTTTAGCAAGGAATCCCTAAAAAGAAAATGGCCAATAAGAAGCAGAATTGCCAAACTGGGCTACTTTTGAAAGCCTAATGCAATTTTGAATTTGGCTACTTGTGATTTTCAGAGATATTTATATAAAAAAAAAAAAAAAAAAAAAAAACTTTGTTAATTTAGCTTATTAAAGAAAAGACAATCAATTCAAAAATTAGTTACATTGCATTTTCAAATATAGCCTCATTTACTATTTGCAGTCCAATCTGGCAAACCTAAGAAGCTCCAATACAGCCATAATAATGGCTTGGTTTGGTTTGGTTTAGTTTGTTTTGTTTTATGGCATATCAATCTCAATGGGTTATTTAATGCTGACAACATTTTTATTGTTGGTAATATTTTTTGTTTTCAAAAATGTATTGCTGGTAATAATTTTTCCAAAAAAGTATTGCTGGTATTAAAACTTATTTTTATACTTTCATAGTGTTTTGACCCACTTAGTGTTAACTATTTGCCCATAGCTGGGACCCTGACAGGTGCTACCACTCCAGGTCAGGGTGGATCTAGGAACACCAGCAATTAAGAGGTGGTTTCATGCTCCTCAAAACTGTCTGATCAAAGGCCTTGCTGTCAGATATAGTTTATCATCCTACCCAGGACAGATAATGCTTTGGAAAAATGAAAAGTCATAGAGAATAGTTAATTGTGATTGATTGTTTTTTTTTTTTTTTTATGGTTTATCAACTCTTTATGGGTTATTTAAAGCAAAAACATATGGATTGTAAGAATAATTTTTATTTTATTTTGAAAAGTGAATATTGCATTAACAATTTTTTGAGAATAACAATGATTTTTTCTAGATACAAGTCTTACTATTTAACTGACAGCTGGCAGGAGGGGATAGATTCATACCTTTCACAAGAGTATTTGTGCATAAGTGAATGTAACAAATTTGACAGGTATTGGAACTCAGCTCTCCAATTTCTCATTCTGAGCTGCTATCCATTACACCATACAATTAGTTAACTGTGACAAAGTGAAGACAAATCACTGATATTTAAAGCAAGATAAGCAACAACTTCATTTATACACAATCAAGTATAAAATTTGTACTGACTTTGACAGTACCATATGAGCTGAGAATGAGGTTCTGCAAACTCATAGAAACAATAATGATTTGTTAATAATTTTAAACAAACACTGATGAATGATAAATTTACGATGAACTGAATATAACTTCTTATCTATAAAATAAACATGATTGTGCTGCAAAAAAAGTCTGTTATTCAAAATGCAAGACCAAACCCAGAAATCAAGATAGAAAAAAAAAACTCACCAGTGGTGCAGCAGATCATTTATAAGGTAAATAAGGTGCAGCTTCACATCAAAAGTTGAATCTTTATCAGTTATCCTGCAAAATAAACATATAGACTGACCCTTTGTTTTCTATTATCTTTTTTGATAGATCTTGATAATATGAATCAGTTTTTACTAGATTTCAAAAATAGATCTAATTTTTTCATATTTTTAAAATTTCATAAAAATGAAGAAAAAATATCTTACAGTCATAGTTAGGTTTTATAACTTTTCTGTAAGTTAATAATTATCCAGGCTCTCACAAAGTAACAGTTAAAAGGGAATAAGCCATAAAAATCTAAGTTATGAAGAAAGATTAAGAACTTAAGTCATTTTAAATGTGGTTATTCTTTAAATATTATGAATGAAAATCATATTAATGACAGAAAAGAATAACTTATCACGAACAAAAAAAGGCAAGTAAATAAGGTGAGATGATGCAAAAGATTGTAGTTTTCACACACATATTTGAACGATTAGAATTATTAACTATGAGAATTAACTCAAGAAAAATGAATTCAAACATTCTGAAAAAATGATAAAAAATACAAATACATAGAATATAACATTTTGATGATACACATTCTTCAATTAAAATCCTGCTTCCAGTAAATAGTAATATATAGTAATAGAAGAGACTCAGGCATTAGGCTCTCAGACAGTTCACGTAAATATATTGGCCAATTTGCATAATTTTGTTAGAAAAGCATCAGACTTTAAACAAATTAGAATAGAGATGCTGAAAGTTTACATGTTTTAAATTTGTAAAATTAACTGCCTTGATTTTGCAATATTATATCTGGGATGAGTTGTTATCACTATTTACAATCAAACTAATATCCTTATCTTTGTTGTTATTATGCCCTCCATTCTTCTTCACGTGTCAAGAGGATTAAAGCATTGGTTGGTGAATTTGGTGATATTGTGAGTTCAATCACTGGGCTGGTTAGTACAGAAACAGCAGTAATTGAGCCGTACTGAAAATAATGAGACAAGATGTCCCTAAACATGGACAGTGGAATTAGAACAATCTATTCGCGTAGAAAAGGGTTGTTTGAAAATCTCTGAAGGTTATCTGGATTGACAGATAACTGATGAAGGCCAGAGGGTACAATGACCAAAACACTGTGATAATAATGATGGGAAAAAAATGATGAGGATATTAGCCCAACTGTAAATAATGAAACAGATGACAGCATTTAAAAGAACTAAATATTCATGTATGCCACAATAAATAGGATTGCAATATTTATTCCAAAATCTTAAAGGATTTGTTAATCCTTTAACAAGAGAATCAGCTGTAAAAGCCATACTTATAGAAGCATTCATATACATACATAAATGACTATATGAGAAATTGGGGAGGGGGGAAAATCCATTTTTATGAAAGTCAGTGAAAATAAGATGATAACATCTTAGTATTACATAATAGATAGAAGAAAAATACTCTTGACATCTGAGCAGAGCTCTCTTGTAGCCTTAATGTTGCATCTGCACAAAAATCTGAAAAAGAACAATAAAATAAACAACTTACCTGTTTAATAAGTACTGAGCAATCAACTCACAATGTTCTTCAGACACACAATGGGTGAAGATCCAGCTTTTCCCATTCTGTAAGATAATAAATAAAAAACAAGATTATTCATTCTGAATAAATATATAGTACTTGAAATGAAACAAAGAGAATGCAGGTAGCAGGTATAATTCAATATGTTAAAGAAAAAGCTGTTTTTGTTAATTTTCAATGATATCAGCAACAAAGCCAAGTAACCTTCAAGACTAAATTCTTTCAATGTCTGTTAGATGCAACAGAACCCGTTTGTTAACAGAAATATGTCAACTGAATATCATGTTACAAAACTTCAGTCTTTAAACATTAAGTTGTTTATAATGAAAGTGGTTTGGTTTGGTTGTTTTTATTTAATGGCATATCAACATCTATGAATTATTTAATGCTGAAATCTAAATATTTTGTACTAAATTTTTATTTTATATTTTTTGGAGATAATAATGGTTTATTGATCCAAGTCTTACTAATTAACTCATAGCTGGAGAAAGAAGAGGTGGATTCATAACTTTTCCAAGTATATTTGCACATAAGTGATATAACAAACCCAACCAGAATTGGAACTCCACTCTCCAATTAACAATTCCAAGATCTTATCCATTGCAACCACTAGTATTCCCAAGTGGCCACACATCTAAGATACTGACCAGGCTTGATGTTGCTTAACTTCGGTGATCATACTAGAACCAGTGTTTCAATGTGATGTAGCTGTAAGTTCAGAATGAAAGTGAAAATTTGGCTTCTTCTTTTTATTTTTAAATTATGTTTTTCCTTGCTATTTTACTTAAAATATTGTTTGTTAATTATTTGGCAAAAGTTTCAATTCATTAATTTTGATTACATATTTTTTGGAAAAATATGGAGAGACTTTCAACTCATAATTTTATTCAGGTATGATTTTAATGGACGTTAATATATGAGAAACTGTGAAGAATATAAATTCCATATTAAAGATTGATGTGGTTTATGAGTGAACAATAAGATTTTGGTTTCAAAAACATGCAATTGGAGAATTTATGAGAAGAGGGGTTGGCCAAGTCAGTGATGAAAGTTTGAAGTGTCTGTGATAAAAAATATATTTTTTCAAATCAGTAAAAAAACTAACAGCAAACTTCAATGTATTGATTACAACTATTTCAAATCCTTTAAGAGTGACAAGAAAAAAGTTAAATAAATTTTAAATGAATGAAAAACCCAAAATATTAGATATCTGTAGATGGACATTAACCATTGTCAACAGTATGAAATTGATCCATTTTTACATCATCACTTGTAATAAAATATGAATTGTATATTAATATAATATCCGCAGGAGGTTACAGCTTTCTCAACTGTAAACTTCTGGGCTATCATCCCTGGAAGGTTATGGAAAATGACTGGTTGACAGAAGTGGTTAGATATATCATAATTTCCTTCAACGTTGCCAACACAAATATATAGACCAATTTAAAGTAGTACATTCAAAACTGAAACAGCATCCAATTTGGGGAATACAAAAAGTATTATTTTGTTGTGTAACATTTATCTTCATGTTGCAAGAATGTTATTACTAAAGTTGAATCAGTTTAAGATGAAAATTTTATTGCACCTTATCCACTTATTTAGCCTCCTTCTAATGGATTACTAATTTTTTAAAGCAATTAAAACGTTTTCCTTACATTTAAAAACTTGTGGAGGTTGGCACAGAGCTTTAGTTTTTACATTAAAAATGAATGAACACTGAGTGAACATTGTTTTAGAAGATTTATTTTCTTTTTTATGAATACAAATTGTATCCTTCCTGTGCAAGTAAATAACTCATTGTACACTGAGAGAGAGAGTAAGACTCCTCTTTCTTTGTAGCAGACAGTTATCCTGGTTAATTCTTTTGTGGGTTCAGAAACAAAACTGATTGACCTGTCCTTATAAATGCTGCTGTTAAATGTTAATGAGATGATAAGTAGCTAATATTTTTCAGAGGATTTAAGAAATATTTTTATTTTATTTACTAAACTTTGCCTACTACTACAAACAATCACTGTCACCTAAAAGACTTGAATAAATAAAGAATTCATAAAAATAGATTTGAAGAACTGCTATCAAAAAGGAATAAATGTAGATAGAAGAGAAATATTCTTATAGAATTGCTTTTGTATCAATTTTTAAAATTTGTTTATATAAATCAGCAATTTCAAACTGATAACACAGGGATATTCAGCACATTGTTGTTGTTCACAAACTACAATTTTGTATTATCTCATGTAATTCACAAAAATATCTTCAAGCTTCCAATATATGAAAAGAGCATTCTGAATCACTATTGATTTGTTTTTAACTGCTTTTAATAATTTTTTATCATATGAAAATACAATTGTTTCAATATATTTTTTTCTTAATTCAATGTAATTTGTGTGTATGTTAAATATTTAGATGTAAATAAATACTGACAAAGTCTTCAATGGTTGGATAAAAATCCAGATAAAAAAAACGATTGTAAGTTAATTTGCCTAAATATTTTATTATCAAAACAAATCTGTTCATTCAAAAGATTTTTGTTGTTTATTTTTCCCAAACTATTTGTCTGATGAAGATGAATTAAATTTCCATATATTTTTATAATGAAATGAATTTTAAAATATTCCTATTTCTGAAGATGTGAATTTCACTGGTTGCATGTGCTTTAAAATTAAATTGACCTCACTTAACTTTGCATTGCTAAAATCTAAGAACCAAATTCTGGAAGGAATTGCTTTTTTCACTCCCATTTTACTTCTTTTTCTTTTAACCATTTCACTCTAGGCAAGGCAATAAAGCCACAAAGATGCAAAGTGATATTGGGAGTGGAAGATAATGAGAAAGGACAATAAAAGAACAGGGTTAAAAAAACTGAAGATGGCGAATGACATTGCATTTAAATTTTTGAAGATTGTAGGTGGCAGGAAAGCAAGGAACTGGAAAGGGAGTTCAAGAGATGAGAAATGAAAGAAAAGAAACTATTAAAATAGAATTTAAGGTTACATTCCAATATTAAAATAATAAGATCTAGTAGCTAATTTAGTTGTATGCTTAAATTCATGCCATAACATAGAGAAGAGCTCATTAGAATGACTACTATGAAAAGACAGAGGGAAGCAACATCATGGTGGTAAGAATGTGATTGAAGACAAGATGCCAGGTCAGGACCAATAACATTATTGACTCTTCTTCAGATATTGTTGATAATCTCTAGATATATAGCTGAACCACCAGACCAGATATGATAGCAATATTCAATGTGTGGATGAATAATAGATTTATAAATGTGCAAGATGGATTCTGATGAGAAAAATTGTCTAGCACAACACAGTGAACCAACCTTCATAGAATAAAAATGTTTCTCATTACCCTTATTAAGAGGAGGAAGAATAAAAGAACCTCATGGAATTTGAACACTTAGTTTTCTACCTGGAAACATTTTTGGAACTAATCATAAATAGAAAAAAAATCTTAAAAAAAAAAAAAGGATGCTTAATAACATGGGGTCCAGAGAATTCCAACCCAAAATTAATGAGATGCTTTTTACGCACAAAGATAAATGTTGAAGCTTAAATAAGCATGGAATAATACAACACAAAATGTACGTTAACAAAATGTATTGAAACAAAGAATAGGTACACAATATTTACAGTTAGTTTGGTATATTCTTGGGAAGACTGTTCCTGCATAATGGGTTGACTAAATCGCAGTCGGGCAGAGTCTCTGGATTCAATTTCTTAATCTCTATCTTCCCCGTCTTCCGGTACCAACCCATATTTATATGGTCGGTAGTCCGCTTATGTAAATTAGGTGTATCATACACAACAATAAACAAACAAAACTAGGGCCAAAATAGCTGATTATGCTACAGTATGATGATGACAATGATGTCTAAAAGTTTCTGCATATTGACTGAAGGAACTAAAGCAGTTGTTATGGCAAATATTAAGAGATTCTCTACCTGAGGCAGGCAATGTCAGTACATTTTGTAGAAAACAACTTAAGGAAAAAAACAAAAAAAACTTATAATCCACAAGCAGCATTCTTGATGTGAGACATATTTTGTAATATACAATGGTTTTTACATTATACCATGCAAGCTGCTTCAGGGACATTCATATTTAAAATCAGTTCTGTATGGCACAGTCAACTATTTTTTCTGCCACTTACAGATATACCAAAATACATTTGTAGACCAAATCATTCTAGACACATTAAGAGTCTATAAATATCATGATTTAAAACAAATGCTCACATTTATTTGTAACCACTAAAACTCCAAAGAAACTGCATTATTTTCTTTAGAGATGTGCAAGAATTTAAAAATATTATGGCACAAATATTCATAGAAATATGAGTTATTTTTTCTTATTCAGTTTATTAAACAGGTTGTTAATTTTTTTTTTTTAAAAACGGAAAATAACTGAGTTGAAAATAATTCACTAAGAATGTACTAGACGATCCTAAGAAAAGAAGAAGGAAAGAAAAGAAAAGAAAGAAAGAGAAATGTATGACGCATGACCCATTTGATGGTAGAGATAGGTCTGCGTGTGGTCGACTTTATTTTTTTTTTTTAAAAACAAAAATTGTCGGGTCAAATATTTTTATCAATTTGGATTTTTTATTTTTTTTTTTGAACAAAAACGAAATTTGTGATCTGAGAAAAGTGTCTTTGGGTTGGGGAAGTGAAAAAACGATATACGGAATTGACCTGTTAAGAATTGGACAAAAAGAAAATTATTTAGACCTTTTAAGATTTTCGTTCTCAATTGTTTTGGACCACAGAGGGCGCCAAGAAGGCGGAAAAAGAACCTTTTCTAAAGTCAAGACTAATTAGCATTGTTTGACAAAGTCCAAAAAGAAAGCTAAAGATTGTCATTTCTGTATATTAAAAAAGGTGCTAAATCGGATTTTGTTTTTTTTTTAAACCAGCATAACCACACCCGCCAACAAAAGGGAAGGGTGTTCGGTCAATTTGGTGAATACAATTTAAGAAGAAGGAAAAAAACCCGATCAATAACTGTTGGACGAGGCGGTTCGGAAAAGAAGA